CAGCTTGCAGATACTCATTCATTTGGTTTATGAATGATTGTTTTCTCTAGAGGAGGTATAAATGCTATCTAGAGCCATACAATACAGAATTAAGGTTTAACAGTATATTAATATCCCTCACGTGCTCTTCTGTGTCCTCCTTCAGCCTCAAACCCTGCCATTCCTTGTGCCCTAAGAAGCGTGACACACATGCTGCAACCATTATTTTCAGCACCTTCCAAACTCCTGGAGTATTACTTTTTTTGCAAAATCTTTTCTTGCAAGCGTCTTCAAAAAAGCTGATGGTTCTAGCAACCAGGTCTGGAGTACACAGAACCTCTCCACGTAGAAATACCCATCATGTGAGTAGAGAAGCCTCTGTTTAAGAGACAACTATCACTGTATTTTACTGTTCTGTGTGATATCCAACACAGCCTAAAACCAGCAAAAGGAGAAAATGTTCAGCTTTCCTTCATAGCTGTTAAGAGCATCCCTGGTATCATCTTCCCACATTCATACAGGATGACCCTCTAAAGGATCCCTTTTTGGTGCTTAGTGTCAGGTGTATACTCCTCCACACATGCCAGTTGTGGCAATCCCTCTTCTCAATGTGAGGATTAAATCACAACTTGTAGATACACACATAGCATCAACATTCCCTCTTAAAAGTTTCAGAGCAGTCACTGCATTTAAGGTAATTTATTCTTACACCACATTTCATTGTCTAGTAAAAATTTTAGAACAAAACTAATAGGAATCTATGGCAGAATTTCCAGAGCTTGTCTTCACTGTATACAAGATCAGCAGTGCACTCTCAGGATAAAAGACAAAGAATAGATGTTTGCACCTTTTCCTCTGATATGCTCTAATATTCCAATATGCTCTGATATTCTAAAGCTTTTAATTTCTCCTCTTATGGGTACAGATGGTCTTGTTAAATTACGTGATAGTGTAATATGTCAAGGTCTATGAACTTCAAAGCACATTAACATATAATGTCAAAACTGGGTACAGGCAGGTCTTCTGCCTTGTAAAAAGATTGTTACTTCTTTTTTTTTCCTTTATTTTTTTTAATTTTTTTTTTTGTTTAAAAATATAAACATTCATACCAAAAATCTCTGTGTACCAGAGCCATGTAAAGTGGGCTTTGTCTCACCATCTTGCTTGAGAGAAGACCTTAACAGTTAACTTATTCACACGAACACCACACAACTCCAGGTATAGAACCATTGCAAAAGTATTGTACCTTGAGAATCCAAACACTACATTTTTAACAGTAATGCAGCATGAAATACATCTTAATTATTTACTGTCACTGAATAACATAAAGATATAAGAAACATCTGGCTACATCTGATCATAGGTTCATTTAGCTCTGTATTCAGAGTCTGGTCATTACAGTTAACTCCATTTTACCTTACTATTCACAACTGTCATATAGAAGGTATTATAACGCCTACTGCATTTCCTATCTGTTTGCAAGTGCTTCTAAACATGTATTCTTCTCACCCTTTTTAAACTTGCGTCCATGTACTCCTGTGACAACACATTACAAAATAAATCTGAGCAGCACCCAAAATTTTTTTCTTCTATTGGTTCTAAACTTAACTATAACCATTTCCAAGAAAGTTTAGGTTTCGAAGATGTTTTCAGATACCAGAGCTCCACATTTAGCTCACCTACCATCTTGGACATTTCACAAACTTTGATCACATAGTCCCCTACTTAGACCTCTCTTCCCTAGAATAAAGATTGCCAGTCTTTTGGTCTGACTTGAGAAGCCCACAATTTTCAAAATTCCAGTTTTCTTATAATTATATTATTTTCTTTGCATGCAGCATAAACCAAGTTCCATGCTGGTTTTCAACAGTTTCAACAGTTTCATATTTCGGCCAGCATTCAACTAAGTGCAAATCTACTGGCTTGAACAAAAAAGCCTGCTTTACAAATTGACGAAATACCTTTCTTTAACACCTAAAGGTGAAGTATAAACAGTGGAATAAATGTAAAAAAATTAGACTGACAGATACAGTTGTAACATTTAAGGACATCCTTAACTCATTCTACACAAAACGTTGAATAAACAGTATTAAATTAAAAAAATCTGGTTTCTAGAATGCTTAGTACAAATTGCATTTACTTAAAATTCAGAAAACCTGTTTCCTTTACGCATAAACCAAAAAAACATTTCAATTATATTTTGCTGACACAGACCATTTCTTTCTTTAGATTTAAACTATCTGCCTTGACATATAAATACTCTAAAGTTACTCTCCTACGCAAAATACTCTCTGAGAATACCATATAAAAGCAATCTTACAGAACTTATTTTTCCTCATTCAAAAATTACCACCAAAAAAGAAGTCAGAAACTCACACGATACTGGTTAAAATAGCTGATATAATTCCAGCAACTACTGTCAATTAGAATCATTAAAGTTGGAAAAGATGCTGAAGATCATTGAGTTCAACCATTAACCTAAAACTGCCAGATCCCCCACAAATACATATACCTAATCACTTCCAGGAATGGCAACCATTCCACCCCTTCCCCTGGGCAGCCTGTTCCAATGCCTGACCACCCTTGCAGAGAAGAATTTTTTCCTAATTTCCAATCTAAACCTAGCTTGGTGCAACTTGAGGCACATTTCCTCTTGCCCTGTCTGTTCTTACCTGGGAGAAGAGATAGACTGGCATCTGGCCACACCCTCCTTTCAAGGAGTTTTAGAGAGTGTTAAGGTCCCCCACCCCAGCCTCTTCTTCTCCAGACTTAACCCCAGTTCTCTCAGCTGCTCCTCATCAGACTTGTGCTCCAAATTTACTAATGGAACCTATATTTTCAAAGGTGTGCTACTCACTAATTCAACTCACCTTCACACAACATGGTTAATGAAAATAATATTAAGGCTTTAATTTCTCTCTTTGAATTAATTATGTTTTTGAAGCTGACCAGATATTGCCATGATCAGATGACCTTCCCTGCTCAGCCTTTTTAGCTCTGTAGGCTTGCTGTGGGTCAGCAGCGGCCGGGCAGCCCCGAGGACAAAGCCCAGCCCAGAGCCCCGAGCCCGGCACAGCCGGCCCAGGGAGGGGATGGTCCCGCTGGGCTCAGCCTCGGGGCCGCCTCACCTGGGGCCGGCTGGGCCCTGCCGCTGGAGAGGGATGGAAAGGTCCTTCCGTGCATCCTGAGGGGGGAAACAGAGCTGGAACCTCCTGTGAGGAGCAGCTGAAGTCTTTGGGCTTGTCCGCTTTGGACAGAGGGAGGCTGAGGTGTGACCTCACTGCTCTCCGCAGCTTCATGAGGAGGGGAGGGGCACAGGGAGGTGCTGAGCTCTTCTCCCTGGCATCCAGGGGCAGGATGCATGGGAATGGCTCAGAGCTGTTCCAGGGAAAGTTCAGACAGGATACTAGGAGGCATTTCTTTACTGATAAGGTGGTTCCAGACCAACACAGGCTTCCTGGAGATATGGTTGATTGGTGAATTTCCTTAACAGGCTTTAACTTCTGCACAGCCCTGAACTGGTCAGACAGTTGGATGATCATTGTAGGTCCCTTCCAACTGTAACTATTATTTTCAATTCGCATTCACAGCTCCAATCTTAAAATGAATTACTGATTAAACCTTGGAGAGATTTTAGTTTCTGTTACTATTAAATTTCACAGACTGTGTTCAATCCCTGTGGGGCAAATTAAGCAATACAAATTGTTTCTTTTCACAGGACATATCCAAATCCTTCAAAGACCTGTCACTAGCATGAAGCACAATGCAATCAGTTTAAAATACTTTTCTTGTAATTTCAGCCATGTAGTGTCTGTCAAAATGCAATTATGCAGCCATTTATAGTAGTGTTTATCTGGTTTTCTCTTTCTTGTTCAGACCATTTTAATTCACAGCAATTCAAGCATCAGGAATGTACTGAGCGCATTTTTTGGTATATTAGTTAGGGGACTTGATTAGATGGGAGAAAATTAGACAATCTTCATCATTTAGAGTATCTTAATATGTTTTTCATGATCTACAAACTACTAAACCTAATAAAGAAATCCTACTAATGTCTAAATGCATTCAAAATATCAACAAACTGTCTAAAGTACTGATTCTAGCATTTAATAATAATTCCTATTATGGAAGTAGTACCTCTGTGCCTAAAATCTGAAACAATATACGGTTTGCTCAAGTGTATTTTTAAAACCTAATTTCTCCATAAAGCACAATGTAGTATTCAGGCTTTTCTCCTTCTGACACAGTCTTATCAGAAAGTGTGAATTTTCCCCTTAAAAAAATATTTTCATGTACCCATCTGTTAAACCAGTAAGTCAGTCCCCTTTAGGGGAAAAAGAAAATAAACCATGTTGTTGAAAGAAACTGATAACTGAAGTCTTCTTTTTACAGTGGACCACTCTACAGATACATTAGTGGGGAAAATCAATCCTTACTGTCACTCTAGACTAAAGGAGATTGCATATTTGAAACATCAGTAAAAAATAATTCATGAACCTGCTACTGACAGCTGCAGTAACTTAACGAATCCAGATGCCACGTGACATTTTACCATTTGATTCTAACCACAAAGATGAAGACTGAAGCCACAAAATAATTACTAACGGTCTCTTTGACACTTGTCAAACAACATCCATCAATATTCAGTTACTAAAGTGAAACTTGTAACTTCAAATTTAAATCCTCAATCTTCCTACTGTATTCATTGAATACATTGAGTTTCTCCATAGGAATTACTCTACTCCAAAGGAATACCGGGTAAAATTTTGTCCAAGAATTTTTGTAAAAAACAATTAACCAAAAACTTTCATAAAATATTATTTAAAATAATTTTGAGTTACAGAACTAAAATAATACAAAAAACCCCCATTTATTATCTAGAGGCAAAACAAATATAATATTTGCTTCCAGATCCCACTATATTAAGTAGTTACTAAAGACTAATAAGAATGATATTTAAAGTAAATTCAGCTAAACAAGCCTCCCAAAAAACAGTGTCAAAGATAGACCTCAATACTTACCCATCATTAGAACACGTCAAAAATTCTTCCTTTAGCTTTGGATGCCAACAGCCTGAATTGAGCATTGCTGTGTGACCCTAAAGAAATAAACACAGAGGTCTTAAAGGGACTTGTAAGCTGTCTTACAAGGTTTTTACAACTTTTACTCCAAATCCTTCAAATGGAATCACAGGAAAGCTGAGGCACAAATTTGGACCCTTCTGACTGATACCAGGATGATTTAACAGATTGTATGAACTTGATCCATTTCATCCTTGTTTTCATCTCTGAATTAGAAAACCCCTTATATTCTTCTACTTTTTTTTTTTCTTTCAGAAAAGAGCATAGAAACACACTTCTTTTTCTCTTGGTAGACTTGTAATGCAGAGAAAGGATGAAACAACAGGCATCACTACAGTGCCACACAAACCTTTTCAAGTGACAGAAGAATGACAGAATTAACAGTAACAATACTGACACAATACGCCAGTGTCAATCTACACTAGCCAAAGATCCTGTTGGAGAAAGCTGAGGAAATAGAATTTTAGAATCAAGAGGGATTTTATCTCACATGAGTTTTTCATAAAATACTGAAGTTGCAAATTGACTAGTCCGCTGCTTTCCTTTAAGACAAAAAACCAGAAGTTGAGTGTTTCATACAAAGTAAGTGATTGCCATTATGATGACTATGAATATAACTATATTAGTGAACTATATATTGCCAGTTTGGCTTTGTTTCTTTGAAGTACAGGCACACGCTCATTGCCTACGTTCAAAGAGAAATTTGGAAACTGCTCCTGCAATGCTGCAATGACTTCAGTTTGTTTTCAGCACAAATAAGGAGAGAAATACTGAAAATTTAACGAGGCAATATAACAAGTATTTCAGCATTTTGACTGTTGGACTACAGTATACTGGAATTCTAGACATTTACAAGAGAAAGAAAATCTAAATTATTTTTAAGCAAAGTAGAACTAAAGCAGATGTTATTTGATGGTTTTATATACGTATCACCAGCCAAAAGAAATAGTCATCTGACAAGAACAGCTTTAGGCAAAACAGCATTAAGCCTAGTTATTTGGCAATATACTTTACAAGAAATAAGTAAATCAATTTTATCATCAGTCTGAGCTTTAGATTTTATCATTACTTTTTAGGCTTAAGCTATTTTAAAAACTGACCTGAATTTAAATACTCTAGGTAAATGGAAGCATTGTATGAAAGTTTGTGAAAACACAAGGGCAAGATGGTTAAAATGCAACTGTGGTTGAAGCACTTCAGGACTATGAATGAACCCTTCTTCATTTGCATTTTTCACTACCATTAAAAATATACACATTTTTGCTTATTAGTCTTACACTCACAGTATGCAAGTAAACAACCCCCAGCCCCTGACCTTACCTTTGTGTTTGTCATATCCACAATGTACTGGTCTCCCTTTATGCATTCCATTACTGGGAAGCCATCTCTGTCAAGAACTTTTGCCTGAGAATTGCCAGAGACAACAAGAATGACATCTCCTGTGCTGCTATACTGTAAAGACTTGATTTGGTGACTATAAAGAAAGAAGAAAGAAAAAAAAAAGGAGAAATTAAACATTGCAGTTAACGTCCCTGTAAACTTACACTAAAACGAAAGTGTCAATGGTGAGAAACCATGTTGCAGAAACAGACCTATATACACTCCTATATCAAAGAGGCAGGAGGCAGAAAATCTTTTACTAATGGAATAAATTTTTTTATTCCACAGTGTGCGTGCATATATGCGTGTGATGTTTCTTTCAATCACATATAGTTTATCAAACACGTAAAACGTCATTTCTGGCAAACATATTTCTTTAAGGATGCTATTACAGCTCCAATGGAAAAAGAGTGTGTGTCAGATTTAACTACCTAGAGATGAAAATTCTTTTTCATCTTCCCAAAAGTAAAATGTGGAATTACAGTAATCTGTAAATTACTATAAAAGGATGTTGCAGTCATACATAAAACTTCATTGTACCTCACATACCAAGATATTAGTCATAGGTCAGCATTCTTGCATCTTTTTTTATGGCCAGGGCTTTAATTTCAGCAAACTTTAAGATAAAGTTAAATACCATCAGCCCTGGAAACATGACAAGAGATAACCATCTGTCTAGTTTACTATGTCTTAGGTGACTGTTCATTTGTTTTAACAGTGCTCTCACATACATCTTCCATTGATTGAGAAAACCTGCGGCAGAAACGATGGAATAATAATACTGAGATGACAAAGATGAACTGAAAGTGCAAAGCTGACTGATGAATGAAAAGCCCAATTCCAGCTTCAGCATATTCTCTCAGCATTTTGCATTATGAACAAATTTCCTGGCTCTTGCTCTGTCTGAAGCAGATATCCCTTTGATTCCCTACACTTCATTATAAGGATAACAAAGAATACAAAGCAGTCTATCCACTTCACACCTGCCAGAATTTATATCCCAGCACATAACAGAATGTGCAAAGTAATGTTACTTTATATTAATACTTCTCTTCTGCCTCTAGACTAATCTGAAGTACAGGACCATAACACATTTTGCCAGCTAGATATAGATATGGCATCCAAAGTATTCTCGAAGAAATATCTTCTCATTGCTTAAGAACATTACTATGCACATTCAAATCCTAGCACCTTTCAGGAAACTACCTTTTAACATTATTTCCTATTAGTGAAGTTAACACTCAGATGACCAAAAAAACCAACTGCGCAACTTGTAACTTAATATTTTAGCATTTCAGTTCTTATACAGTAGTGACCTCACGTAATTTCTCAGCAGTAGCTATTATCTATTAAATCTGTCCTCAAACATGAGTTACTACATAAAAAAATTAAAATACTGTAATACTTACTTTAAAAGTTCTTCATTGATCATAGTAATGTAAACTAAGTTTAAGTTTCTTATTCAAAAAAATGTTTGTCAAAACTGACTACATTACAATTCAAAAGTTAAAAATTGCTTCAAACACCCTATTATGTAATACCAACTGGCAGCCAAATTGGACTGAGTATTATAAGCTGATTTTTAATAGAAAGGAGACATTCAAATCTGGGAATTTCCAAAATAGATCACAGTCAATGTCTGAATAAACATTCTGATCCTCAAGAGAATGAATGAATACTTTCTCAGAAAAGAAGATGGCCAGCTACATCAAGCTCAGAGGAAACACTGAAAGAAATTACAGGAAACCCACAAGAGAAATAGTATCTAAAGTCTAGAATATTCTCTGCAGACAGCTGATAAACCTAGACTAAAGAATATATCAGATTCAGTTTTTGCAGAACAAACACCTTAGGAATTAAAATTTTTTTTCAGTGGTACTTCCGAGCTCTCTTGTCCAATCGTATGATTCATGCAAAATATTCCTGAGTCCCACCTGAGTACTGTACATAGAATGAAGTATTCATTAAGTTATATTTCTCATACTCCAATGCTGAAATTGGCAAAAGAAAACAGCCAACATCTCCAAAGCACAGATTCACATTTTGCACTTATCACTGTTGAAATGTAAGAATAAAAAACAAACATTTAAAAACTAGACTAAAATATATTTTCACTTGATGCATGTCTCATGCATGAAAAGGATCTGACCTGTAATAACAAACAGGTCAGAAGTAAAATCTGATTTCTGACAGAATCCACAATACATAAAGGCCCACGGAGTCTTCTGAAAAAAACCCCTGTTTTCAGAGACCAAAATACTAAAAGTCAAACTGGCAGGCACTAATACTATTAACAACGCACTGTTCATAATCCAAACAATGTAATCTCATTGCTTCTTAGTAGTTCTGCATCAGCATGTCTGAACAAAGTTTTCTTTTGTCTTAAAATTTCTCCCAGTAAGGAAAAGCAACTGATTTTACAGCAACTAGCACAATGGAACATAACCAATAATTTATCAAATCAGTCATGTGAAAATATTAGCTTTAGAGAACAGATTTCCATAACCTTTACCTAAAAAAAAAAAAAAAAGCTAAACCCATACCTTCTTGACTGTGCAATGTGACTTCTAAAATCATGTCTAAAAATTGCTTCTAGAAGTAGAGTATTTGCAAAGTCACAGAAGTTACCACTTCTCTGATGTTTACTGGAACATGACCAAAAGTGAGGCTCTACAAAGGCAGTTTTTTAAGAAAATATTTTTGCTTCTTATTAATGCCACAGCAAAAGTCTTGGGAAACTTATAAAACAGTTCCTTTTAATAGTATTAATCTGAATAAATTTGGTTTAAAATTGCCAAATGTGCAAAGCACTTTGTACTAGGAGCTGCAGAATCATGACACACAAATATTTTCTACACACCTAACAGCTTTGCCTTACACTTCCTTTTGGTGTAACACCAAGGTATGGCTTGAAAGTACTAGCTTTTTTTCAGGCTGGGTTTTTTTAACTTTACATCACAAATCCAAGGAGAAATTAAGAGAGTAACCTGATATTATGCTACAAAATGGAGCCTTGACAATATAGAATTGATCTCAGGCTCCTTTATTTTTAAAATGAAATTAAATTTATGGCTCCAGATCTGGATTTCTCCTAACACCTAATGTTTCCATACCAGAACTCCTCAGAATTCTTTGAAATTCAAGTCTGTGAATGCTAATAGCTCTTCAATAATAAACTGCATAGTGAAAAAGTAATGTAAGAAAATATATACACCTGGACACAAGTGATATAATATTCCATATAGTTCACCAGCTTGTCTCAATGTCAGCATGAAAGAACTTGAAGCTGAATCTTCTTACCAGACAGAGATATAGTTCCAGTTTTATGTTTAGAAAAAGATACAGAAGATATATTTGAATAGTAACTTTTGAGCTCCCAAAATTACTTCATGAGACTCGCATCATAAGTGTAATTTCCAAGCTTCACACCAGTAAAGTCTATATTTAATATTACTTCATGTTTCTGTTTTAAGTACTTTATTTATACATCAATGTACTCAAATCACAAGAATTTCACAAAGAACATTTATATAAAAATATCTATGAGATCCTTACAACACACTAAATTAATAGTGTCAAGAATAACAAGCATTTTAAGTTTATATTTTACAATCAGTTTTTTGCTAAAAGGAGCTTACCTATTTATCTGCAAGCTATCCCTTAAACAGAGCATTAACATACATTCTACTTGTGTTTTTATACAATATTTCTATTTTACACCATTATTGTCAAGTACTACTAAATTTGAATGCACTCTTCTGCTAAACTTGAAAATGCTTCATTAAAATAATGTCCTACTGTGAGAGTAAAGACTGTCAGCTCTTTTTCCTCAGTTATACCAGAGGAAAGACAATACAATTATATTCTGCTAACTAATCATGTAAATGAAATTCATGCCAGAAAAGTCTGAATCAGTCACTTTATATGTGAAAACATTTATTTATTTATTTATGTATTTATTCCTAAGTGGCATGTTTACTTAATTATGTTTTTGAAGTAAATGTATCATTTGTCAGCTTATTATAACAAGTCAAGGTCTGTCAAAGAGATTGGAATTGCATAATGCAAAGCACACATTTTATTTTTGCAATTTTTCACACTTCAGACCAACGATAGAATCCCTTTCAATTTTGCCCCTATTAAGGATAACAGTCTTAACTTCTCATCTTTCATTACCTAGATTTTTGGCATATCCATAGTCAGTTATACGCATTCTATATTTTAATCATATATTCTATATATGATTAAAAACAGACATTTTGAGCACTTCTTACTCTGTGTATAATAAATTACAATCCCTTTCTTAATCACACGGAAGTACCTTTTAAACTGTACCACATCAGGCAGACACCATACCATTTAGTACCTCGCTAAAACCACTGTGTTTTATTTTATGCAATATATTTTTCAGAAAGTTCAGTGTTCACTACTGGTAAAGGAGTTCCAGTTCTCTATGTTATAATTAAATTAATTCACTTCACTTAATTTCTAAATTACCAGTGAACAATATGGACAATATGGAAATAACTCTCTAAGAATGCTTCCTGCATTTTCTTTTCAATTTGTATATATAGAAACATAGAAATAAATGTACATAAGTATATTTTTTCTTTCAGAAAGACAGTATTTCACACTATGCTGTTATTCAGCGATCATTGCAATGCAAAGGATCAGTGCTTCTGAAACAGAGGACTTCATGAAAACTAAATGAATCACCCTTCCCTTCAGAAATCCTGGCAGGAACTAGAGAGGCTCCCCACAAAGGGGTCAATTGTTTTAACTTGCTTCTTCTCTTAATTAGTTTTATGTAAGCAGAATACATATAGAAAGTGTATTCTAATAATGTCAGTTAAACTCTGATAGTCAGCTTGTCTTTGAGAGGTTCCTTTTCTGACGTGCTATTTACAATTGCATGGGCAAATCCACCTGTAGCTTTCCAAAAGGGGAGAAAACATGCAAGTCACTGCAAAAAGCAGGAAAAGAAATAAGCAGCCAGGTTCTTAGATTCACATTCCTTAGTATTCAAGAGCCTTTTAAACAAGCTGTCTTAACAAGGCTTTTGTGCATTCTACCAGGAGCTTAACATGAAACATTAAGTGCAAAAGGCAGCCTTCATGCCTACCATTCACAAGGCTGGAGAGACCGAAAAGCTTGGAGAGAGGCATCCATTCCAGCAAAATCCCAAAATTTTACATCATAATCATATCCACCAGTTATCAAACGAGCACCTGAAGGATCCAACCCCAAAGCAGAAACCTGTAAAGGAAAAAAAATTATAATCATAATAATTCAAGTTTTTTTTTATTTTTTCCACAATTCTTCAAGGTCTCAGCAAAATAAAAAATGCAACTAAAGTTAAAAAAAAAAACAAAAAAACAAAACAAAACAAAACAAAAAAACAAAAAAAAAAAAAAAAAAAAAAAAAAAAAAAAAAAAAAAAAACACCAAAAAACAAAAAGCCCGGACCCAAGCCTCAAACAACCCAGAGTGGTTTCTTACTAAAATATCTTAACTAGATTTTCATTTTGAAATTTCACTACCTTGAATAAAGTCATAGCACTTTTGAAGAAGCAGTAAGAATGGAAGTAGCAATTACATCATCTGAATAAACCACTGAAGACAGCTGAGAAAAAAATAGTTTACAGTGTTTACTTTCTAATAATTTCATTGCAAAATGAGGCTAAATGTTTCTATGAAGAAAATTGTGCTCTAGACATCTATCAAAAGTACAAACAATATTTCCAGCAAGGTAACAAAATAGTGTTTAACATTCACCAGCTAAAGATTCTAAGTTTATTTAAGACAGCTCTTGTGCATATACACATTGCTTAGTTAAGATTTCTCTTCTGAAAAAGGAAGGGAAGAATAAAATGGGGTATAAACTTGAACTTTTTTAAATCACAGATTTTAAAAATATACTACTGTAACAAAACAGGTCAAAGTAACTTCACAAAACCAATTTCTTTTATATACACAACCAGCTTCTCAGAGCTATTAGAAATTCTGAGGAAAGAATGCTTATGCTTATTATTCTCATATGTTACTCTCAAATCACAGATCAATTAAAACAGAAATTTTACTGAAAATCTATTTTAATTCTCTATTTGAAGAATGGTAATGTTCTATAGTACAATACATAGTATTTCACAAACTAAAACAAACAGTAGTGTTCAAATCACTACATGGAGAAATAAGGTAATACAAGGCATTTCACTAAAAATTATATAAAATAATTACTTAAAACCATTTACCTTCAAAATGATTTCTTTTCCTTTCACATTTGTGAAAATATCATATTTACTACTATGGTTTCAAACATTAATATAAGATTAGCTGGACAATGTGCTAAATGAATTTAGATACCAAGAGATTAATTCTCAAAAAATTAAGTTATCTACATAAGAAAGTGATGAAAAGTTCTATCAAAAAATATAAAACTAGAGTATTTTTGTAATTACTCAAAATTACACCTAGTCTGAAATGTTAAAATGCCTGAATTAGTTTTCATTAAAAGATAAAATTCATATGGAATTCATGCTTACGTTTTAATGGAGCTCATGGGTAAAACCTAGACTACAACCAGCAGATTACTTTTAACAAAAACAAAACAAAAACATGGGTCATCTCACATTTTTTAGAGATAATCATCACATTGAAAAACCCTTTCAGTAAGAAGAAAGATAGTCTCCAACACAATTAAGCAGTAGTAGTAGTAGTACTAGTAGTACTAGTAGCAGTAGTAATGATAAAGATGATACTAATAATAATGATGATGATAATAAAATTTCAGGAAAAGCATTTGAAGAGATAAACCAGAAAATTCTGAAGGAAAAAGAATTCACCAAGAACATCGGACTTATAGAAAACCATGTGGAAAAAAGTCCCAATCAAACAAAAATACTATTTATGCAGAATAGAAGACAAAAAACCCTTCATTTCAGAGTGGAGGGTAATGCCTGAGAATTATGTCATGACTACAGGTTAGCAAAACAGAATTTCTTCAAGGAAGAAAAGAACTTGGGGAATTGCTTTCAGATGTCTAAAACAGTATTAAAAATTCTAGATATGGATGTACAAAAATACCAAGAATTTTACACAGAAGATGGTTACCTATATGTATCTTCTTTACACATATACATGAGAAGTACTGACAGGAACAATGATTTAATGCAGATACATAGTAATACCACCAAAAAAAACTTGTCTCAAAGATATATCAGTCTACTATTGTACTTTTTTTTCAAAGCTTTAGTATACATCCATACACACTGTGTTATGGACACTTTAAAACTTACGTAAACTGTTAAATAGCTCCCACAGAAAATATTTTAAAGCATGGAAACAAGTTCATGAAAAAAGTAACCTACAGAAACAATCGTCCCAACAAAAACAGCCTGTATGAACAAAATTTTTTCTTTAAGATGGATAATTTGCTTCCCTAGAATTGAGATTTCCGTACATGAATTAGTATGGGCTTCTTTTGAGTTTTCTTTTTCCAGTTTCATGGAGAAAAAGTGCACTTACTATTCCTTATCTTATCAAAGACTCATTTTTAGTCGTCTTCTCCTACAGGTTCCCACTACTGCTGACCAGCTCTGTGCCGGCCACTTTTTAAGCATCACCTCCTAAGGCAGGAACAGGCTATTCCCCAATGTTGGAAATGAAGCAGGGGAAGCAGTAGCCTGGCTTGGCTGAGCAGGGATTTTCTCTAGGAAGTAAGGCAAAAAAGGAAGGTATATGCCCAATGGAAGCGAAGTCAGGTGACATGGGAAGAATACAGAGATGCTGCTTACTGCAGCCAAAGAGATGCTGCAGGGAGAAAATCTGTGCAGCCAAAGCTCAGTGGGAGTTGAAGCTGCCCAGAACCATGGGGGAAAACAAGAACTTTTTTTTTTTTTTTCAAGCATATTAATGGTTAAAGACAGTGTAGAAATAATACCAGCCCATTACAGGATAAGGATGCACACTTCACAAAGAGGTCATAGACAAAGCAGAGATGTTTAAAGCTTTCTTTGCTTCTGTCTTCTGACAGGAGGGGTCAAGACCATGACTGTGAAAATTATCAACTCCCAGCCAATCCTGAAACTGAGCAGGATCTGCTGCTCCAAGTGGATCCCTGTATCAGGCTATGCAGATTCAGATCAGGCTGATGAGATTCATCTGAGAATCCTCAAAGAGCTAGCTGATGTTATTCCCAAGCCTTTCTTGATAATTTTCAGGCAGTCTTGGGAATCTGGAGAGGTCCCAGATGACTGGAAACTGATGAAAGTGGTTCCAGTTTTCAAGAAGGGCAAGAAGAAGGACAACACTGTCATCAGTCTCCACCAGCACGGCCTCATGAGAGGAAAGCCTTGCTTATCAAACCTGATTTCCTTTAAAAACAAGGTAAGGCATCTAGTTAATAAACGGACTCCAGTTGATGTGATCTTTTTGGATATAAGTAACACTTTTGATACTATCTCTCACAGAGTTCTTCTTGATGAAATGTATTAGGAAAAGGTTCTTCACCCAGAGGGTGGTTGGGCACTGAAAAAGGCTCCCATGGAAGCTGTCACAGCAGCTGGAAGAGTTCAGTAAGTGTCTGGACAATGCTCCTGCGTACCTGGTGTGAATCTTGAAAATGGTGCTGTGCAGGGTCAGGAGGTGAACTTGATCATCTTTGTGACTCTCTTTCGATCTCAGAAAATTCTGTGATTCTGTAACACAGGTACCTCACAGTATTTCAAATACACAACGCCCTAGTATAGCCAACTGTCTGAAAACAGTACTTTCAAGGAAACCAAGATGTGGCAGAAATGATGAACCTATTCACCAGACAACTAACTCCTCCTTCATCTAAAAGTTCTGCTGTAATTCAGAGGCATTCACTTGCAGAAATCTTTAAAATGTGAAATCTCTTGTGTATTTCTAAAAAGAATATGCCCCTTTTACAACGTAAATGGAAATTCTGAACCCTAGCAATTTCATTCATGATTTCTGACATGCAGAAAAACTGGGCATCTCCAGATTAATCAGAACACTCAAGTGTTCTATTCAGTAACTTCTATATGAGGGAGCAGTTGTGAAATGAGATATTAGAAAGCATATATTTCATATTCTTTCTCATACCCACCTATATATCACAAGTACCAGGAGAAATAAAAAATATATATGAAGTTTCATTGGGAACAGTAATTCCTATTACACTGTATAAGCAAAACAACTGGGAAATTAATCAGTTTTCTGGGAAGACTCTCTAGCTTGGGAAATCTTTCCTGAGACTTCTCAGCTGCACAGGAATAGAGTCATCATCAAATCCACATTCACTAGATTGAAGAGGTACAGATGGGATATATAAGCTTAGCTGAAATACATTACACTGTATGAACATAATGAGAAGATTGTATTTAAAAACATTGGGGCAAAACACCAAAATCAAGATACGAAGTTATTCCCATCTTTATGTGTCGAAGGTCAGGAGTAAATGGTTTCACTGTTCTAAAACAAAAAAACAAACAAAAAAAACCCCACCAAAAATACAGCCCTTCCACAGAAGAGATATTTTTTCAATATGTTTAATTTACTGCATCCAGTCTAATCCAACTGTGCTATATATATCCCACATTACAATTCACCTCTGCTCAAGGTGATGACAGCTGCATTCTCCTGCAGTCAAAATATCTCAGAAGTCTTCCAGAACTGTAACTACCACTTTATAAGGCCTTTTAGTTAGAAATAACATGAGCTTGCTCTTCAAAAAGCCATGAAAAGATTTACTGGTTTAATATAGAGAAAAATAAATCAGAAAAATTTACCTAACAAAGTTTGTTAGGACGTGTATTCAAGAAACATACTGCAGAAGCAGTTACTGTCACATGTAAAATGGGAAACTGATTTGCACTAGTACACTACTCTGCAAAACCTAGTATCCATAGAAATTAATATGCAAAGCAGTTACACGCACCATGTGTAGAAAAATCCACTCTATTTTGTTCAGTGTTGCGCAATGCATCTTTTACAGGTCAATTAGCCCACAAAAACAATTGAATTCATATTGCAAGATGTGATTATACAGAGATAGACAGACAGATATATATATATATATATATATATATATAGAGCAGAAAATCAATTGTCGTTCTTTAAAAGAAAGCAAAGGAGCAGTAGTGGAGATAAAAACTAGAAAAGATGCAGTCAAAGACAAGGAAGAACAACATCTCAAGAAATTGAGAATGGTGTATAAAAAGGCACTGAAAGATTGAAGTAAAATGAAGTACTTAGCTGCAAAGAAGTCATTGGCAATAACATAGTCCTTTAAACCCATGACCAAAGAAAGGTCTAGATTAGACCCATGTCTACATATTAAGAAGGTCTATCCTAGAAGAAAAACTCTAACAATTACAGAGAACATACTTGATGAAAATGAGACTACAGCTGAGTCAAATGGAGCCATATTTGGGTTATTACAAGGAATTGAAGAGGTAGTCATGAAACACACTTTCAGTTGCACTAAGAAAAGAGACCGACTAAACTAACATATCAAGGAAACAATTTGCTTCTTGAATTTAGCTGATAAGTATTTGTTAACCTATTTCACAGACTGGCACAGTTGTAGAAAAGCACAAAGGGTTCAAAACATGTTATCACTTACTGTCTTGGTTCCATGCTGGAGTGTAATTTCATGAGAATCTGGGATTTTCTTGACAGGGTTCTGGAAAAAAAGAAAATCCATCTCTGTGAAAACAGTGCTATCCCCAAAAAAACCCACTAATGCAATATATATGTAAAAGTAAGAAGGCTTCCCTCGCACCAGTAGTAACATGAGAAGAAGAAATGGGGAAATCATAAACCAGAGACTGATTTCACATTTTTATTTGCATGAATAGACTCCCAAAAATATGATAAATAATTGTTTTAAAAATATGACACTGTCTTAAGACTAAAACACGAAAATATTTTCTTTTTTTTTTTTTTTTTTTTTTTTTTCTCTTTGGAAGGTATTAGTCCACACAGAAAGAAATGTAATGGAAGTACTCAAGTACTTTTCAGCAATTTTCTAGAAAGGTCATGTGAATCATTACCTTCAAAATGCTTCTTTATCTGGCACCACTCCAGTTTCCTAAAACAGACACTATCCTCTTGATGCCTAACATCTTTGCTATAATTTTCTGTTGCCAAGTATGATTTTAAAATAATTTTAGGCACATTTTATACTACACATTAAATCTCCTGTCTTATCCATCTCTGCCAATCCCTTCACTATCTTTCACATTTCACAGAAATGTCTCTATAGCATCAGGCTGATTATCTTCATACTTTTTTATCTTATCAGTTCCATCTTTTATTTTTCTGACAAAACTAAAACTTTCATTATCTTTGGTTTAGCCACACCTACCTTTCTTTTAACCTTACTTAAACTACAAGGGAGTACACTTAGATTAGGCACTATTCTTTACTTTGAGGGTTGTTAGGCACTGGCACAGGTTGCCCAGAGAAGCTGTGGGTGTTTCATCCCTGGAAATGCTCCAGGTCATACTGGATGATGCTCTGAGCAACACAGTCCAGAGGGAGGTGCTTCTGCCCATGGCAGTGGGGTTGAAATGAGATGGTCTTTAAGATGGGAGGGCATGGAGGCTGTGCATGTGCTTTCATAATTTGTCTTCCAGAACAACCACTTTGCTCACTGAAGCCCTACTGGGAAGCGGCAAGACATCCCCTGCTAATAGGAAGTAGAGAATGTATCCTCCGCTTTCCCTTGTTTCCAGGTGTGGATTTCACTTTTACTTCATTAAGCTGCCTCTATCTCCATGTGCTTTTTTTCCATCTTCTTCCGCTCCATCCTGCTCAGGATGGGAGTGATAAAGTAGCCTGCTGGGCACCTGGCATCCAGCCAAAGTCAGCCCACCACAAGGTAACAGCAAAGGTTTACCAATAACTACACCACATCCTAAAAGGTATAGCCCACATGGAACCAAGTGACACTTTCACAGATTCTGTGGTTTAGAAGCTGAGAAGCAGTTGTAGCTCAAAATTCCCAAGTGAAGCTGTGATTATGAAAATGAGTTTATTGTTCAACTGACACTATAAAGCACACAGACAAAGGTATAATTATAATACAAATTAAGTTTTCAATGCTCCATCATTCCCTACACTATGAACTGATATTTGCTGTTCTTGGGATGCAAAAAACTGCTCAACAGTCATTGCTGGCACTTGTCCTCCAAGCACATTCCATAAAAACCAAAGTGTGAAAAGCAAACAGTTTCCAAGATTCACCCACAAAGCCATCACACACAATAAAAGATGTACTATTTTTGTGAATCAAAAGCTTTCACAGAAACCATTGCTGCATTCTTACTTTAATCACTGCCAGGTTGCTTTTCTGCATTGGAATATTATACAGTTCTTCATTTCATGTAACTTACCACAAAGGTATATTGTGTCAGCACTGAATTTAATTTTCAGAGGGTATCTCAACTACTTTCAAAGGTCTTTCAGTAAGCCAAAAAAGAGAAAAATTATTAATAAACAAATTATCTAGAACAAATTTTATTTTAATTGCTAGCTCCCTCAAGTGACAATAATTAAATCCCCTTTTTTATGAGAAGAGTGAAGCACTAACATGAAAACATTTTTGCTTTACACCACACTCACATTGAACAGTATTCTGGCTACTCATTTTAGAGAAGAAAAACAGACAGGAATATATTCTGCCACCTGATAAATCAAACAGTCTGAGCCTAAAAGTCAGACACTTGGCGACTGCTACTGGTGCTAAGCTCTGCAGGGTCCAAGGGATGCCTGACAGTTAAAGTAACTGTTTAGACTATTCAAAACAAAAAATTAAGATAACGACATCCAGGAACATATCTTGGCATAACATCTGCAAATTAGCTAAATATTTACAAAAAACCAAGGTGGCTTATTCTATTTTAGTTAACCATGAACTTCATAAATAACACAGAATGCTGTATCTCTAATGTGCTACAGCACATGCCTATATGCACACAAGATAATCAGACGCAACTACCAGCACTACTGCATTTTTCCAGTTATTACACTCCAAAGAATAACGAATGCCATAAAATCCTTTTTTTTTTCCACACTTTGAAAGGGAAATATAGCTAATACATTTAGGCCGATTTGAACATCCGGATATCATGTATACTGGAATATTACTGTAAGTGTGAAAAAAGCGTCAAGACAGTTTGCCTGAATTGTCCTGTAGGACTTCAGCTGTTGCTTGGATTTCAGATGCTAACTTTACACAAACTGATTATATGATTTCACTAATATTGTTCCACAAAATTTGTATAGTGATTAAAACTACAGGAGGTAAAATCTTTACAGGATTTCCAGGGTGTTTTTTGTTGTTGCTGTTGTTTACTTTTAAAGCCCATGAGGAAAAGATAATACTTTAAATTTCTGCTTCAGCAGAAACAGATGAAAATAATTATGGTGTTGACATATCTCCTAATACTTTTACAAAAATTCTCAATTCCCTGGCTGACATAAGATTTATATATATTAAATCTGTGAAATAGAGTATTCTACAAGTTTACAGTTTTTTCTCAAAATGAACAGTCTTACCTTAAAAGCAATTTCTGCAAAAGGGACACTGCAAATCAGCATCACATCTGCAGTATGGAGTTTCAATTTTTTCAGGGAATTTCAGCCCTAGCTGAGTGTTATACTCCTGTGTCTAACAACAATCTTCTATTTACTGCACCACTGTCAGTAAATATTGTGGATTTTTTTCCCTTGCTCCTTTTGGGAGCTTCCTTATTCTCAAACAATACTCAGAAAATACGCCACTAGCAACCAGAGGCTGAAACTACATTAGTCTCCCCAGAATGTTTTGAGAAAAATCAAAGACAAAAACAAGAGGTCAAATAAATCAAAATTACTCTTTTTTTCATGGCCAACCAGAGAAGGGGAAAATGATGCATTTATACCTAAAAGAACCTCTACTGTTCTGTTTCCAGAGGTTTGTATATAAATGGAAATTATATTGTATGAAAGAGACTTGCAAACTGTAGGTAATCTTTCACACATCAGGTCCTTAAATAGGAACTTTTCTGGGTACCTAAAATACTATAATTTACAGAGAAAAACCATGCCTTTTTTCTCTATGTTTGCAATTGCCTTCTTTGAGAACTTCAAGATCATATGCTGCCCTGGAAAAAAACCTGCATAGCTCCCTTGTTCTCAATTCTCTCCTGAAACACTGGCTTCCTGAAAATTTGAAAAGACTATCATTTGTGAGAGCAGAGCTATGGCACAGCATGGAGAAAAAAATGCAAAACTGCAGCTGGTTGAACTAAACGCAGAGTCTGTCTTGAGCAAGAGAAAAGGTTAAAGCTGGTTTGGCTACTACCTACCTTAAATATCTTTAAGACAGCCTTTAAATTGATCAGGGAGCTGGAGCACTTCTCTTGCAAGAAGGGAGCATTGCTCAGCCTGGAGAAGAGAAGGCCCTGGGGAATCACTATTCTTGTATCTGAAGGGGGCCTCAAAAAAGCTGGAGGGACTTACCACAAGGACATGTAGCATTAGGACAAAGGGGAATAGGTTTAAACTGAGAAAGAGGGTCGGTTTAGGTTAGATATTACAAAGAAATTCTTTACTGTGAGGGTGGTGAGGTACTAGCACAGGTTGCTGAGAGAAGCTGTGGATGCCCCGTCCCTTAAGTTTTTAAGAGCAGGCCTGGATGGGACTCTGAGCAACGTGGTTTAGTTGCAGGAACATTGGAATGAGATGGTCTTTAAGGTATCATTCAAGCCAAACCAGTCAATAATTCTAAGTGATTCTACTATACTAAAAACCCCCTTCAGCTACAAGGGTACACACACCCTGCTCTTTTGGGTCTCTGGTTTGATACACTCCACAGGAAGATGCTGTCTGTTCATGGGCACGAATGATGAGAAGGAGGCAAGAGCTACACTCCACAGACATTCTCTATTTCTGGTGAAAAGACAGGTTTTGCAGAAAAGTATCACAGAAGTGCTCTGACACAGAGGATTACTGCCTTATTTGAAGACAGATGGAAATGACTGGAATACTAAATGGGCAGCAGGAATAGCTGGTGGAAGTGGAAAAGGAACAACAGACCCTAGCAACAAATGGTAATGTGAGTACCACCATCTACTTAAGACCTTAACTCTTCACCAAAAAGGTCCCCTTACAGAAGGCCATGTTTTAATCATTCAAATCTCAGGCCTTGTGGCAATTAAGAAAAAAGGACTTCCTATTTTTGTGCCTTTTGTTTAAATACACAATGTACATGTTTTCTTGAAAGTTTTTTTAAAGCTTATTCTCTTCCCACACAAAATTCCCGATTTGCATGGAAAAGCAACTATCACACTGCTGAGGGGCAAGGCGAGGAGTGCAGGAAAATTTGAGACCCTTTGAAAGACTTTTATTTTGTACACCAGTGCTGAAATCTGCCTTGTGACCAGATACTATTTATCCCTCTATTTTCTTCAGCAAAGTATTCAAAATCGCAAGTTCAATTAAGAATGTTAATCAAGATGACAGGGAAGAGTTAAAAAGAGAAATGTAATATCTTCTTATGAAAATGTTCATACTGTAAATTATGTTACATATTGGAGGGAAAGCTCTTAAAACATTTTTAGGACAAAAATATGGGCAGACAACTCATCAACAATCACAACAGAAAGTATGGGATATCTGACACAGTAATTCCCAGAG